GTCGTGTGTGTGTGTGTGTGTGTGTGTGTGTGTGTGTGTGTGTGTGTGTGTGTGTGTGTGTGTGTGTGTGTGTGTGTGTGTGTGTGTGTGTGTGTGTGTGTGTGTGTGTGTGTGTGTGTGTGTGTGTGTGTGTGTGTGTGTGTGTGATAATGGCGGAATGACAGACGAAAGAGACGAGGACCGGACCGAACAAGAAGCGATAGGAGAGTGGTTTCTGCTAGAAAGAGAGCCTGTATTCGAGCGGAAGGGCCGGAGGCGTCTCCGAACTTAGAGGAGATTCTTCGTTTGACGCTGGAGGAGCTTCGCTCTCTGAGGGAGGAGCGCGCTCGATGGGAGACGGAAACATCTTCGATGTTCGGTCCGCAAGAAAAGATTCCGCAACGTCTGATATCAGGTCAATCGTTTTCAAATTTTAATTTCGGTTGCGGAATAAAATTAAAGCCCGATATGACGGGAAGATTCCGTTGCGTGAATTTCTTACACAACTTGATTTGATTGCGCGGGCTAATGGTTGGAGTAATTTCGAGAAGGTCGTTGTGTTGGCGTCCTGCCTGGGGGAAGGCAATTTTGAAAGGAGGAACGGAGCTGGAAAATTCTCAACTCGATAGTTTGGTTGCACGATTAGAGTTGCGTTTCGGGGAGAATTTTTCTATTCAAAATTATTACCTTCAATTTACAAATCAGAAAACAGAAACCAGGAGAGGAAATAGCCGCGCTCAGAATTAGAACGACTTTCTCGTCTGGCTTATTCGGAATGTTCTCCCGTTATGCAAGACAAAATGGCCTGTTCCCAATTTATTGTAGCTTTATCGGATGGGAACATTAAACAAATTCTTCAATTAGAAGGGCTCATGTCCTTGAGGCTTGCCGTTGAGAGAGCAATGGCAATTAAAATTATAAGAGAAAATAGTTTTGGAAGAAAAGTTTATAGTGAACAAGCGGAAATAAAGAATTGTTTTTTTCTAACGGGAGAAACTTTAGTGGGGAAAGAAATAAAGTTTTCGAAAAAACGAAATAAGCGGGAAGCGAATTATAAGGGATCAAAAAGTTATATGGAGAGGAATAAATTTCCTCGCAAAGAAAAAGAGTGCTGGCAACGTGGTAAACAGGGACACTTTCGCTCGGAGTGTCCAACCCTTTTGGAATCGCAAAAGGGAAATTAGGTTCCGTTGAGCTTATGGGGGCGAGTTCAACGAAGAAGGGTAATGCCCCAAGTAGCATTAGGCGTTTTAGAAGAAATTGTGAAAAGAATGAAAGTTTTATTTTGCGCGGTTTGCTAAATGAGAAAGATTGTTTATTTAAGTTAGATACGGGCTCCGATGTTACACTCATAATTAGTGGTTTTGCAGGTATTAAAAGGAAGCGATTTTCTGTAGGAGAAAGTCATTTGAGATATCCTACAGGGGAAAAAGTTCCGGTAAAATTTAAAGTTTTAATTAAGATTG